AATTATTTTATTCCCTGTACTTTCCTTAAATCATTGCAGAAGAGAAATAGGCTACCATATAAAGCTATTATTAATAATAAGCAACAAGTTCCTAGCTTGTAAAGTTAATGGTAATTTCTTATTTAAAGGAAGATGCTTTAATTGGCCCTGTAAGACATTATAAAACAGATTCACTCCACAATGAAAGTGGTAAGAAAGCTTTAGATGACTTCTTTTTCTCCTAAACACTTCTGCAGAAAACAACACATTTCAAGCTGAGCTTCAAGGAGCTGTACTCTCAGTATAAAGAGCCCAGCAGTAATGTGGCCAAATTGGCCTCCTCTTAATCTGCCTTATAAAAATCAGGAAATAAAATATTTTCTTATGGAAAAGGTGGTACAAGTTTACCTTATGAAGTCTTTTTTTTATGTGTGGGAAAACTAGAGGCCACTCTAGAATGAGGAGTGGGAAGAAGTGCTTCCAGAAAGGATCAGCAGCTGGTCTGGAGCCTGGGGCTGGGATTTCACTTCCACATCTGCCCATTGCTCACCTGCTGCAGGGCCTTGGCCAAGTCATCTCACCACAGCCCTTCTCACTCTGTCTATTGTGCTTATCTAAAGCAAAAAGCTTTTCTTCAAGGAGGCATTATTCTTTGTGCATGTGCTTTAGACTACTGGGTTCTAATTATATCTGTAAACACCCAGGCATTACTGTAAGACATGTATAATGAAAACTAAACAAGTTTACAGAAAACTTAGCGTACTAAAATAGTACATATTTCACCTTATTTACAAAAAAACCCTCCCAGTGAGACAGGAGAGAGTTGTATTTTCACATATTGTAAACCAATAGGGGGAAAAAAATGCAGAGGAGGCTTCCTCCTACATCTTCATTAAATATATTTATGTGTGTAAGTCACACAGTGCTGCTTTTATATAAAATGCTGCAAGCTCACATGCCTAATGCTCAATTTCACAGTGGACAAAACCAAAACGATGTATGCAGCCATTCATACACACACAGACACAGCAAGTGCCAAATACAAAACCCCTCACAGCACACAGCACTACTGTGTACCTCCAAAAGTCATGAAAACAGTACCAACTCCTCTCATATATCTTGTTCAGAATGCCACCCTCCTCCTTCAGATTTGGGTTTTAAGAAGGTTTTTAATAAGAACAGCCTGTTCTGTGCCTTCCACCCAGACTTTTCTCACAGAGGAACAAGTCAAGTGGAGCGGCCCAACAGCTACAACTCTCCTGGTCCAGTTCTTTTATCAGGAAAAAACCCAAACTCCACATTTGTCTAGTCTCAGCTCCCTAAACTTCAGGCTCATTCTGCTCAGGATACGTGCACACCGAATATGTATTTACCAGCAGTCTTTATCCAAGTTTCCCATGATGAAAAGGGATGGGTTGTAAAGAGGGACCAGGAGATCCTTCCTGAGGACCAAGCACCCTGCCCCAGAGCAGCACCTTTTACTCTTCGCTCAGCATTTCTGCTCTGAGACTCACCCTCTGCACGGTCACTGACCTCTCCACCTGCTTGTGTTCTGACTTTATCCCTAGCAGACAGGTGCTCCCTGGCTCTTACTCCAAACATCCCTGAGGCTGAGCTCCTAATGAATTCTGCATGCTGAATTTTGCAATGAAACTCCTGTGGGAGAAGGTGACTGGCGTTAAGGATGCTGTTACATATTTTAGCACTCCAACTTGCACAGCTCCATGTAGATTTACATAAGATCCATGTACAGTCACTAGTTGAATGAGAACAGATGTCCCCTTTGGAGATGGTGCGAGTGTTTGCCTCCTCTCACTCTTTTGCACTCACACACACAAATGCAAAATCCATGAAAGAGAAGTTGCAACCCAAAGTAAGAAAAAGTTTAAAGTTACATACTGCACTGCTACAGTTGGCAAACCAGCTTCTCCAGGCTACAGTTTCCAGCAATGTTACAAGCCAAAAAGTGTCCTTCTGAAGCACCTGCCAGGTGCTCAGGAGAAAAAACAAAACGTTCTTCCACCATGCACCATCCTTCCCACCTTATCTCATAGAAGCTTGCAAGGGGCTTTCAGCCTGCTTACTTGTTTTTGCTATGAGTATGTAGATGCCACTGTAGAGAAGTCAAATATCAATTTTAACCTGAACACAGTGCAGTGTTTAGTGCTGGAACTGTGCCTACATCCTGGCAGGAGGGAGACCCCCTGACCATGGGTCCTGCTCCATTTATCAGTACCAAGACACACATCCAAGATTTGTCACAGACAAAGGACACCCAGCCGAGCACTGACAACAGGAGCTGTTCCTGCTCTGTACCCCATCACCAGAGTCCTGCAAGAGGGAAAGAGGAGCTGCCTGCAGGCCACAGTGTGCCCTCCTCCCCTCCAAATGGTGCTCACCTTGCTTTACCACAAAGCACCTGAAAGAGAGAGGCTGGTGAGCCCTCAAAAAAGCAAAGAGTTTCAGAGAAGACAAGGCTTCTCTATAGCACAGCAACCTCTGTGGGGCAGAGCACTACAGGAGAAGGCTTTTACCCTCAAAAACATCTTCTGGAGCTGCATCAGAGGAAAACTAAAAAAAAAAAAAAGCACTAACCAAGGAAGAAAAAACCAATTTAAATACACACACACACTTCTTTAACAGCCCACGAGAAATTTACCCAATTCACAACCAGCTTCATTTATTAGCAAGTGTTGGTAACATTAAAATATGGGGGTGCAAAGGGGAATTATCACTGGGAAAGCTTCAAGCCATATCATTCTCCCCACAGTTAGTGCTGCAAAGTTCAAGTACAGCAGCTGCTCTTTAACCTTATTGGCACCAGTGTAATCTCACACTGTCCCGTGCATGCTGCAAAGCTGAAGTATGGGTGCCTGCACTTGTGGGAACAGCTAAGGCATTGCAATGTGTGGTTGCCGTAATTTGCCCTCCCATGGCAGCATTGCGCCATGCCCTCTGCCTACAGCTAAATCTCCTCGCACAGCCAGCCAGGACTACAGAGCCGTGGTGCAACGATGCTTCGTCTCGTTTGTCAGCTTGGCCTTTCACTTAACATCTGCCCAAGTAGGAGAACAGAGAAAATAAGATGCACTTTTTTCACAAACAGCTACTCTCAAAGCCGAAAGCGTTACTAGGGGATCTGACATCAGCACTGCCAATCTAAATATGTCAGCCCCGCTGTGCATCCACAAATTGCCTTGACAGCAGCAGCGCAGCCAGCGGCCCGTGCTCTGAGCACAGGCGACAATGCCCGCGGCCTGAGCTCTAGAGGCGGGAGCGACAGCTCTGACCCAGCTCCCTCCCTCTATAATAAACAGGCGAGTCCCGCTTCTCCCACCAAGAAGAAAATCGCAGGTGGACAGAAAGTGCTTGTGATGGGAAACCTGGAGCAGCACTCCTGAATGCGAGCGCCGGGCAGACACGGAGCAGAGAGCTCCGCTGGGGCAGGGTACAGGTGGACAGGGGACCCCGCCGTGCCCTC